TATTCTTTAAAAAGATATTAAGCATACTATAATTGTAAGAATATCCAACAAAGTTTTTATTTTGCCATGATTACAACTCCAATACTTTTAAAAAATATCAAATATAACTTTTTCAGTAAACATTTCTCTTCTTTTCCAGTGCACCAGCCAATTACTTCATCTACCCACGGTATTATGCAGAACTGAATATTACTAATACCTGCAAGTATTTATGAAAATCCGTTTTGTACCAAGCTTTGTTACATGAACTCATTTAAAATCAGTTAAATTCTGCTAGTAATAATTTTAAAAACCCAACAACACCAGGGTTTGGATCTTGCATGTGATTGACATTAAAATACAATAAATCATTCAGAATAACAATCTTTTGAATATAATAATGTATTTTCTTCCGTATTAGCACATCAAATAACAAGATCTGGCAGCAAGTCTAATAAGTGCCATAATTTCAGAGTAGGATGAGCATAAGTACTACCTTGAGTTCCTCAGGTTGGGAGGAGGGTGAGGCAAGCGAGGCATGCAGGGTTCAAAATTGAAGGAAGCACTCACTGGCTCACAGAGGGTTCCTGCCAGCATCCACCTGGAATTTGCAGGACCCTGAGAATGAGTGCTTCTTTCACTTTCTCCCCCTTCACTCTAGCCCTCCCCTCTCATGGGGGTAAGAAAATGTCTGTGGTGTCTAGTGGTTGCAAAGTCATAAGGCTAATACTACTGTGGTTTTCAGCCTTCACTCAAAATTGAAGAAACTGCTAATTTTCAATTTGAAATCAGAGATGTAATTTTTAAATTTCTGACTTCTATTTCTACCCTTCCCCTAGTTATGAACTTTTCAACATAGCTGTTTGATCTCTCTCTCCAAATAGATAAATGTATGGTTATTACTATTGTTGAACTATCTGAGAGTAAATTACAGACTAAATGAACCTTTAAATAGATGAAGATGTATTTCCTAAGAAAAAGGAGACTTTTTTTTCTTAACATGATCATTCTACAATTTTCAGAGGATAATTTATAAAATCAACTTTATTGAGATATAATTTACAATCAATAAATACATCTATTTTAAATGTACAGCTTGTAGAGTTTTGGCAATTGTACACACCCACTTCACCACTACCACAGTGAAAATATAGAATATTTCCATCATCCCCCAAAGAAAACAACATGGATAAAATTCTATGTGGTCATTAAAAGGAGTAAGATGGGATTTAATGTACTGTGATGAAAAGACGCACTCAACATACACATCCTGTTAAGATGACTTGTGTAATACAAGCGAGACCTGGAAGATTCTTCACTAAATTATTGCCTGTGTGACCCCTAGAGAATGGGATGACTTGGTGATTTTCACGATCTCTGAAATGTTGGAATTTTATCTTTTACTATAACCTTGGTTTTGGCAGGAAAAGAATGTTTTAGCTTTTAAAAAATAGTACATTAAGCCCCGCACCTGCTAAGTTACAATTTTTTAAAACCAAAATATTCATTAAATCCCAACGCCAAAAACTCAGTTGTTTTTTTTTAAATCTGTAACATTTTCATAGCATTGAATCTTTCTTCAAGTGTTTTTAAACGGTTGTTTCTAGAGGAGTAGACAGAAGTGTAACAAATATGTACAAAAGGCACAGGCTAAAATACAAAGAAATGCAAAGCTTTGCGGGCACATGGGAGAGCAGCATGTTTATAAATAAACCAAGTTTGAACTCAAGATTTGGTCGGGTCCTCTGGTCCTGGATAGTGTGGGGCAAATCGGATTTTGTGCATCAATTTGTCTCTGCAAAGTGGCAAAGGCCGTTCGAAACCAGGTCTGAAGACTGAGACTGACTTTCTGGTTAGAAGGAAGTTTTGACACTGTTTGGGAAATGACAGAGTCTCTGAAAGGGAATCTGGTGATGCTCAGGCTCCACAATGAAAAGAAAAAGTGACTCCTATCAGTTTTCTAAAATCTGGTTTGCTTTATTGGTATCTTCAAGCATCTACAATTGTATAAGTGGGCATGCTTAGGACGGGAGCTGGAAGCACATCTAAGGGTTCCAGAGAAAGGGTTGGTCCCTGGGTAGTGGAGCCCCACACACCATCACCTTCCTACTTCCTGGTACCACCTCTCACACTGGAGTTTTACAATTTACTAAGCCCTTTCCTTATCACGTGATTCTCACAACATCCCTCTAAGACAGTGGTTCTAAAATTTCGGTCATGACCCCTTTGCACCCTTAAAAATTATTGAGGACTGCAAAGAGCTTTTGCTTAAAGAGCTTTTGCTTAAAGAGCTTATAAGCGTTTTATATTTATAAGCATACTTCCTATTTTATCACATAGAATATTAAAAACACATGTACTCAAGGATTTAAATTTAACTAAATGAATCATTTTTACTGCTTCATCAAAGATATTCTTAAGTGAAGCTGGCTCTTTTTCTGCTGGTGAATGGTGGTTGGGAAGAATACCCTATTAGTACAGTTTGGTGCCACTGTTTTGATTCCTGCTAAGGTGCCAGGCTACGTCCCTGAGTGACGCAAATGGTTCGCCCTCAGCTGGTAACAAAAAGGTTGGTGGTTCAAACCTACCCAGTGGCTCCATGGGAGAAAAGGTCCAGTGATCTGCTCACATAAAGATTACAACCAAGAAAACACTATGGAGCACTCTGTAACACATGGGATCACCATGAATTGGAATCAACCCCACGCACAAGATTACGATGACAACAAAGGTGCCGAGTGCTTTACCTACTTGGCATGTGCACCATCAATGGAAAAGTCAATACTGTACAGTGAAACTGGCAAATAACATCTTAGTATTATTGTCAAAACAAGCTTCCCTCCTGGACCTTCTGAAAGCGATTCAAGAATCCCTGGGGTCCATAGGCCACACTTTGGAGAATTGCTTCTCTAAGTTAAGCAAGACAAGTTTTTCTTTTATCTTTATTTTGTATGCAAGAAATTCACCCATGATGCAGAAAGATTAAGTGGTTTTTCCAGTGGGACACATCACCTAGGATCTTCAGATTCAGCATCCATTCTCTCTCTCTCTCTTATTTCTCCAACTTATCAAAATCTACAAATGTGCAAAAAAGTTGAAAGAATACTACAATGAGATTCAATAGTTGTTAAAATTTTGCCATATTTGCCTAATCTCTTTTTAATGATATAAATAGAGGTTTGTATATGTGTGTGTGTCTAGATAGACTGACTGACAGATAATTTCTGTATCTATATCTAGAGACAGAGAATGAAGAGAGATTAAGATTTTCAACCAAAATATTCTAAAGTAATTTGCAGGCCTCATAACACTTGACCTCCAAAACATTTCATTGTGTATCTCCTAAAAATAAGAATCTAGGTCCTCACAATATCATTATCACACCTAAGAAAAGCAACAGTGATTCCATAATATTATGTAAAACACTCTCCATATTCGAATATCCCAATTTTTTCCCAGAAGGTTTTTACAGCTATTTTTTTCCAACATGGTTTCATAAAAGATTCTCATATTGCATTTTATTGTGCCTGCTTAGTTACCTTTAATCTAGAACAACCCTCCCCACCCACTTTTTGAAGAAGGGATCAAAATGGTACACTAGAAAAAATCAATTAAACACAAAAGACAATGTTGGAGGAATCCAGGAACAAAAAAGATATCAGACATAAAGAAAACAAATGTTGTAGTTGTTGTTAGGTGCCATTGAGTTGATTCTGACTCATAGCGACTCTATGTACAACAGAATGAAACACTGCCCGGTCCTGTGCCATCCTCACAATCATTGTTATGCTTGAGCCCATTGTT